CCGTTACGAAAGGAAAAGAGAAAATACTGTAACAAAATTCCTTGCGGCAGCAATGGTTCAATAGTGACGTATCATTCAGTCGTTTACGAGAATTACTGCTGACCGAGAAACGTAGATCATGTAAGTAGCCGTTAACCGTTAGCATAACTCATTTATAGTGCAGCCTTGTTAGTAAAGTAATACTTTTGTGTCGTCTGCATGACTCAGCACTGTAACAACACATGAAGGCATCTAAGATGCTTCTTTGTGGTCCGTCTTTGGAGACATTGTAGTTTGGCCGCTGCAGACTGACGTCACTAACATGCGTCTCCTGTCACATCAGAACTACGTAGCTTCTTAGTGGAAGTGGAGTCGATTCCCTAGACAGTGTGGTTTTCCTTTCCTAACTCCTCATGAATTCCCCCAACCATCTTTCCTTGACCCTGTGACGTTTTTCATGGAGGTCAAGGAATAGTGGTTAGGAATAGTGGTTAGGAGGTAATCTGTTTGACAATTTGAATCCATCCCAAGCCACGATCCTGACAAGTGTCTTGAACCTGCATTCTCTCCAATGACCATCAGGGGGCTATTCTTGCGATTAAAGGCGTCAATGACAAAATGACCCTACTTCCCCCTGAACTCCTCGCCACAGTATAAGTACAAAGCTGGGTTGTACTTATATCCTCCCAAAAACACAAGATAGCAACAGCCAAAAAGTGTTTGTCCACCAACCACTGGTGACCTCACACGCACTACTCGAGGGGACGAAGCATCCTCGACTTTGACACACTTCCTTTCCTCTGCTGCTTGTTGTGGGTTTATCAGTTATGCAAACAAGACAGATGGACAGCGAAATGGTCTCAGCGCAAAAGAAAAGACAAAAATCTCATCTTATTTTTGTTTTGTTTGAGTAATTCACTGATGCTGTTTTGTGTTTTTGTTCTGAAAAAACCTTGATGGTATGACACACACACACACACACACACACACACACACACACACACACACAAGCTGCTTCAACATGGTGTGCTTCCTTTAATACTTGTAGTAGTAGTACTATAATCCATTGGGTTCAGAGATGTCACTGTAGATGACACATGGTGGACACTTCTACGATATATATAACTTATATATTTACTAAGCAAAAGTACAAAACATTTCCATAGTTTACGGTAATAAGCTGCTAATGGTCCGGCTACTCACCGTAGGGACCCCTCGGAGCTGCTCCCCCCTCCGGCTCGCAGTGCACGGCGGGCGAGCTGCGGGGCGCGTACCGGCCGGGCGCCATGGTGCGCGGACAAAGAGGCGGAGGAATGGAGAGGCAGCGGGGGGGGGCGGGGGGGGGTCAAGTACTTTACAGTGCCTCTCGCCTCCTCGCCTCCCCTCCTCCTCTCCTCCCCCCTTCCTTTCTACTCCAGGAGGCGCACGCCGATAGGTGCGCGCTTTCTTCGCAGGGACGTGACGCCAAAGTGCGGCTGCAGAGTTCTGGTACTACCGCTATCTGGATTCAGCCTGGATGCTGCTTCCACACTGCAGATTCTAAAAACAGAAGGCAATCACAAGCCAAACAGGTAATGCACATTGTAACTAATGGCATTTACTCAATTACTAAAACAAACTAGGGATTTACAAATAAAGCACTCACATCGCCTGGGCCGTTCGTTTATTCGGCTCCGTACAGCTCGGATGGAGCAATATGTCACCAAGTAGAAGTACTCATCCTTACGTCTTATTGTCCTCATTCTGACAAAGACACGCGAACGTCACACGCGTTCAGGCCTGAGTAGCGGCACCTTACTGCCTCCTGCTGGTAGAAGATCAGCAACACACTCAGCCATCATCTTCCTTCTGCAATCCCCTCGAGGCGAGGCCGCGTGGCGCCATGAAGACCAGCGACCTCCACGAAGAGCTCTTCACTTTATGTAGAGCTATTTGCTATTTTCTATATAGTCTCAGAGATATTTTGTTGGCCATGCACTTGAAATTGAATACTGTTCGTAGTTCTCATAAAGGTCTCACATGTAGTGAGTAGGTGGAGAGAGCATTACTGCAGAGATCCCTTCCTTTGGAAAGGTTTCATCAAAGGTGTCATGTTTAAAGCTTCCACTAGAGGAAACCAAACATCAGCTTTCATTGTAGTATTTTTGTGTCTTTTATTCATTTTACACCAACTCCCAATATGTGACTCACATAATGTGAGTGTACCAGTTATATGTAAGGGTACTCTTGGTGATGAAAATTAAGCATTGTATTATGTTTCTTTGTAGTCTTTTAAATGCAATATTAACACGAGAGAAACAAGTGTAAGTATACAGGGCTCTGAAAGGGTATTGGCCCCTTCCTGGTTTCTTTTTTTGGGGTATATTTGTCACACTTGATGTTTCAGATCATCAAACTAATTTCAATGTCCGAGTGAATATCAAATGCATTTGCTAAATGATGGAAAAAAGCTGTCAGAACCTACCTGAAGTAATTAATAATTCATGAATGAACTGTGATCTCCACCATAAATGGAACCATGAATTCTGCTTTCTACCAAAAGATCCTGAAGCAGAATGTCCGGGTACAAGTTTGGGACCTCGAGCTCAAGAGCACTTGGGTTCTGCTGCAAAGGGGGGCACAGTGATACGAGTTAGGTGCCAATTGATTTTTCACATAGGGTCGGGTAGATTTGAATAGTTTTGTTCCCCTTAATAAGTGAAATCATTATTTAAAAGGTGCATTTTGTATTTACTCGAGTCATCTTTGGCTAAGGTCAAAAATAGTTTGATGATCTGAAACATTTAAGTGTGACAAATATGCAAAAACAATTAGAAACCAGGAAGAAAGTGTGTAGGTGCAGTGTGGCAAAGAGTTGCATGGACTGAAAGCAACCGCTAAACCTTCCCACCACAACATTCTCTTTTTCTGTAGCACTCAAAAAATGTAATCTCGATAAGAGAAGTTCAAAAATAAGAAAAACCATGTGAATCCCGGACTAACTAAACTAAATTAGTTGAATCAAAATGAGAGGAAACTTGTTGTCACTTGATGCAGCTGGAAAATAGGGAGAAAATAAATGAGAAGCATAAAAGTCTTCCTGAATAACCACATAATTAAAGATGTGGTCATTGAATTAATTTGTCAAAACAACCTGGTGGTTGTAAAGTAAAAGCCTGTAATTCTGACAAACTGGCCAGCAGGAGTCCGTGTCGGGTCCGAACCAGCAATCTGATGAGATGATGAGATTATCACCTCTCATCTCCTTGTTGCTTGGAATCAATGGTCGAATGAATCGAGCTTGTGTTGCATAGAGCTGCCTTTGGAGGGCAGTAGCAGTCCAGCAACTTCACATAAGAGTGTCGCTCAGTCCGTTGAGGACAGAGTACAACCTTTAGAGGCCACGTAATACAATACTATCTAATCACCATATGATGCGTTTACGTACTTATTAGTTGTATTGAATAACACGTCAGTAATTGGAAATAAACAATGTTTCCTTTGAAATAAAAGAATAGAAAGAAAATAGCGCTGTGGTGAGATAAGCCTCACGCAGAAGGAGTGAGAACATTTCACGCTCAATAGAGAGCTAAATGGATCAATCTCGCTTGGTACAACGTAGTCGCTTTCTACTGTTCCTTTGAAAAGTGGTGCCGGCGTGCAGCGCGACGCCTCAACACAATGGCTGTCAAAATGACGTTACGTAACGTTTCAATCCACATTCACGGTCGTCACACGGGTCGGACCGTCCATGTCAATTCACTCCACGATCAGTTTGAATTTGTTAGCCGGCCATCGCTTACTTATTGCATCGTACCAACTGGAGCCAAAACCTGGCCAAAGGTAAAAATAATTTTTTTTTAACCTGAAACCCCTGAGTTACGGTCAAAAACATTTTTTTTATTTAAAAATAAAATAAAATAAAATAAGTGAATGGAAAGTATTTTTGGGTCAGATGACTAATTTCTTGGATTCTTTTGGATGAAATATTGATATTCATTCTTAAATATATTTTTTAAATATTTAATTTTCATTTTTCAGTGGCAGATTTTATATTTTCAGATTTCAATCTTGTTTTTTCAAGTTTCAAATATTTGTTTCACTTACGGATCTTTCTCTTTTCACTTTTGGACTTTTGGGCCCTGATCTGGCTTTGGGGGCGTGGCATCAACCGAGACGTATAATCGTGAGTGACAGCTTAACAAAGAAGGCTGAACACCTTTGCGTTGCCTCCAGGAAATGTGGGCACTGTGAGTATAATTAAACACTTTCTATACACCATATTCCTGTAAATGGCAGAAAGAGAGTTTTGGTTAGAGACAAAATTCAGTTTATTGTACTGTTTTGGACCCCAACTAACTTGAAAAGGGCAATAAACTATGCTAGATTGTACCATTCAACCACACCTGAATCTGACATTTAATATAACATTTTCAAAATAGAAAAGCAAACAAACAGAAACACACCGATGCAGTAATTAACTAAGCATGTGACCACAGATATGTTTGGAGTTTGCTTTTGGCCTTTACTGTGGGTATTTGGAAGAGCTACAACAACTTGAACCCTCTGGCTTGGGGTATTTTCCAACATTAGGCAAACAAGTTGTACCAGGTAGGTCTGTTTGTCTGTCAGTACAAATGCCTTTCTGCCTTCTGTGTGGTTAAGTTCAGAAGTCCTGATGTCCAATCTATGAAGGGACAATCTTATTCTTCTGGCCGACAGTCATAACACACAACGCGCTTTTCCTGCAGTGAATGAGCAACCACACCAATAGGGGTGGTGGTCTTAAGAAACCTTTTGTAAATATCAGGGAAAATGCTTATATACCCACCTGAAACTAGAAAGGAAAATGTTTGAGAACTGCAAGTACATTTCATTGTGCAGGTTATCTGGAATCATTTTGAAATAAATGTCACGTAAACTTTTTGTTTTTGTTGACAGTAATAGCCTGCAAACAGGGATGAGAGAGGAGCAACGAGACATACTGAACTACGGCCACTTATTTCAGTCACAATGCTGAACAAGAGACTCAAAACACAGGATGACACATTTGAAATGGGAATTTATTGATAATTCACTGAAGCTGTATGAAGCAGCTCCGGAAACAAACATACCTTCAGATTCATGTCTCCTTGTGACATTGAGTGGTTTGCATGATTAAGGCAACAGAAGTGGTCTTCATTCAAATCTATTCCATATACAAACATGAGCATCTTAAAAGACTTTTACAGAGGTTGTGTTATATAAAAACATCAACTACAAATGATGGCAATCAGTTACATATCACATATTAATAGTGGAACATTGGTAATTAAAATACAGTTTATGTACTCAAATATATTATGTCCTTCATAATATCATAACAAACTGAGGGTTGCATGTTGGTAAGTGACCGGAAAACTAATGTGTAAATGAACATTTCTGAGTGCAAATGTGTTTTCATCCACAGTGGTTATGGGAGCGGGCGTCTCACAGACCGGCTCCCTGTGAGGTCTCTTACTTCATGCAGGGACGACACAGCACACGCAAAGAGCCGCAAGCTTTTCAAACTTGCTTTAGCTAACATTAGCTAACATTAGCTAAGTTTAGCCAGCATCAGCCAAATGACTCAGGATCAAGAGTTAGCCGACAGAACTGAAGTTCAACGGCCATTGAGTTGCATATATATATATATGTGCATATTTTAAAGCTGTCCTACTACGTGCAGGAAACAAGAAAAGCAGAGGCGTCTCCACTCCCCACAGCTAGCTGCAGCATGCTAGTACAATGCTAGCTATTACCATGCTAGCTATTACAATGCTAGCTGTTAGAGCTTATGTATCAGTGGGTACATTTAAATGGTAAAATCTTCACAAAGTAAGGTAAAAGATATCTTTTAATTCACTGGTCACTGAATATAGTCGCCTGGGTTTTTTTCATTTGAAATGATGTGGACAGAAAAACACTGAATTATTATTCTGTCTAGTGGTTTTCCTTCATTTAAACGTCTAAACACCTCATGGTTTGTTGTTAGCTTAATGTTAGCAATCATTTGCTCATAGCCTTGTAATTGTTGTACGATAGATATTAATCATTGCTGGAATTTAGTATTTTCTGATTTCAGTACATCCTGTATAGTTAGACTAGACTGCCGTGGTTATTCCAGGCATGAACAGAAGAGACCAACAGCACGTATCCTCTTTCTAGCTGAGATCCCTGTTGTATTGTTTCCATGTGTCCCCGGTATGAAGCACTTGTCCCCGAGGCTCTGCTTACAGCTCCTGTGGTTGGAAGGCTAACCACAAAGCAACAAGTAGTGGCAGTTATGATAGCTGGCCGGCTGACCTTCAAACCAATAATATTGTCTATCCAGCCACTGTTTCTCATAAAATAACGTGTCAATCATCAAATCATAATGTCAATAAAACACAAATACATTAAGAGCAATAAAATATGGATTAGCCTATACATTGTGAGCTGCAGAGACAAATTTGCGTTTAACGCTTGTATTCAAGCCGTTGAAATGAAAGAGTCTTCAAACCCAATCCACTCTTTGGCAACTGCTGTTCTGCGCTGATTGCAATATTATTCTGGGAAGATTAAAAAATGCGCCTTTCCATTCCAGTCACCCCCGACTACTTCTTCTCGTTCTCTCCGCTCCTCTTCAATCACTCCTGTTTTTTGGAGCGTCCCTTGAATGTGTCCATGAGGTTGAAGGCTCCCAGGTACTGGCCCAGCAGAATGCCCTGCTTCATGGGCAGGACGCTGTGGGGAGACACACAAGGGAGGAATCAGATGATGTTTAGTGGGATACAGAATAAACTGCAGTGGTGAGGCTTACATTTAGTTTAGGGTTGGGATTCAACTTTTTAGCCCAGCCTAAATGACAAACCTCAAAGCTACCCTCCTGTCTTACTGTTAATTCAAGTTATCCCTCAAGTTGTTCCCACACAAAGTGGACATGGGCACCTTAATGACGGAGGATTTACTACAGGACGTGGGGTTAGGGGAACTAGGGGTACCTAATAAACTGAACTGGAGTGTGTTCTCCACAAATTTGAACTGGACCTGTTGCGCTTGAGCATCTCCCATTTATGTTTTGAACCGAGCAGACCCAACTTCCAACACGCAGAGTCTGTACTCACCACGGACCCACCCACGGAAATAGTCAAGCTAATCTTAAAGTAAGCAATATTATTGCTATGTTTACAGAAATCTTAGAACCTTCACAGCTATCAGAGGTGAGAGTGAGAGAACAGATACAATGAAAGGGATGAGGAGTGCAGACGAGTGAGGGACAGACGATGGGAGGACAGGACAGGAGTTTTAGTCAACAATGAGCTTTGTCCTCCTCTCTTCGCTCGCTCCCTGTGGATTCGGTCTCTTGCTCTCTCGTGTCCATCACCTCCTCTTTGTTGCCATATCTCACCCTCATCATTTCCTTTCATTTCCGTGTCAGTGAGGAAGCTAAACAGAAAATAAAAATATAGCGGCGTGGAAGTCTTTCTACTGGGCATGATGTTTTGATATTAATCCATACACACGCCGTTTCTCTTTTTCTAGATACACGAGGTCCATGTCGAGGGGTGTGGACTTGGTGTCAATCACTCTGCCTGAGACGCTCACAAGTGGAACAGAGCAATTGGATGCCATTTGTTCACAGCGTTTCACTGCCTGACATCTGCTTCCACACACGCACAGGTCCAAAAGCTACAAGCATAAAGCTTTGAAGCAGGGAGGGGGGCGGGACGGATTTGAGGGTGACGTGAGTGATCTCTCTCACTATGTTACGTTAGCATTATACAAATGATCATCTTCAAATTCCTGAAGAAAATTTAAAAAATGTAAAACAATTGTCAAAAAGACTCAATTCAAAGATTTTGGGAAAGAATTTCTCACCGACTGAGAGCAGTGACGCAAAAAAAGAGAGAGCGGTAATTGAAGCCCTCGAAATTCTTATCAGCCCCCCCCCCCCCCCTTAAAAAAAACTCTTTGGATCTGCACGATTCACACAAGTTACCCAAACCGAGTGAAAAAAACGGGAGGCGGCGAAAAGCGCGCAGTTTGCATCCCTGTGAGAGGCATCTTTGGGGTCCATCCGGGGCTTGTGGGTGGCTCTAGCCCACGGGGGGGGGGAAGTGGGACGTCAGAATAATCATCAATCAAGTCTGTGAACTCCCTACAATCCTTGAACCTTACCAGACCCACAATAGTTTCCTCTAACCTGCGGTCCTGAATCCACCCAGTCAAACCCAGCAGAGACACACTCTCTTGGCGCGACGCACTACATGATCACAGGAATCACTTATCGTCATTATGCCACACACGGGTGCAGAAGGAAAACACGACCACGACAAAGCAGTTGGGACTTCCTGTGGTGCATTTTCAAAATGAGCATCAGGAGGAATCGTTCAGTTGTAATTTCCCAGTTTGCCCACTTTGTCAAATTGTTTTCCAAGGGGCCGCAATTTTTCCTGGAGACCTGCGCACCGAAACACTGCACTGGGTTGCTCATCACAGCATTTCAACGTTTGGGAAATGACCCACCCAGCTGCGTATTATTGAAGAAAACTAGAGGCACCCACACAACCCCTCAACATGATGTTTAGCAACAGCCAGCTAACCCCCCCCCCCCCCCCAATAAAACATCTCCCCCAGTGTTTTATTGAGGATCATATTAAAAATGCGTCAGCACCATAAAGCAGCATAGTACAAAATCAATGACAAACATCCTGCCACAACAAAAGAAACGTATTGCGTAAACCGACAGCGGCACAGCCACGATGTGGGTACATTTAAAAGCATGACGGTCTGGTCACAAGGCTCTTTTTTAACGTTATTGCTGGTTGTTGTAAACACCTGCTTTACGCTGCTCATAAACAGAGAGCTTCATAAGAAGCATTGATCCAGGTACTCGGCCGAATCTCCACCAGGCAGCTGGAGGCCATCAGCGCACAGCTCATATGCCGACTCCATTACGTCTCGGCTCGGTCCCCGGGGCGTCACTCACGCTGTATTGGAGAACATTAGGAAGTGTATCTCCTCCTTAGACGGGCTCTTGGTGTGTAACACATCTGTTGACATGCTGACACATGAATCCATAGATACGCTGTTCATCCGTCCATGTTCGATTGACCGAATCAACATTTTGGTGGATTTGTTTGTACATATGATATAAGTATAAGATGTACAAACACTTATAGATTACTTTTATATACCCTTAATGGTCTTTGATGAACTTTAAAGATGGAGCATGAAGGGACACGAGGCATCTTTGGGAGAACGACAAAATCAAATTGATGTCCACGACTGGACTCAGGTTTGCCAAAAGCCCAAAAGGACTACTGTTCCGTCAGCATTGCAAGGATCAACCATAATGTAATCGACAATGTAGCAATTGAAGAATTCACACACACACACACAGATGCAGATCCTCACACTCACAGCTCATGTTCCACATCAAGACAACGCCTCCAGTCCTATATGCTCTTCACTCCCCCATTACATAAACCCAGATGTTCCCCCCAGCAGCCTGCGCCTCTCACTTAAACCATCCAGGCTTCCCACTATTTGTTTTTTTGTTCTATTAATGCTAAAACTGGTCTGTTATTGATATTTTTTCTGTTGTTTTTTCATTGGATCAGAGGGGATGGGGAGGGGGGGGCGTCGCCTTCAATTCGTCTCCTTTCTCCATTTTGTTCCCCTCTGGTAGCGATAAAAGATTGTGTAACCCAATTAACCCGAACTCCACGTGTGTGTACATGACGAGGCAAACGCATGGGTTGCATTTACAAAAGACAAACGGACAATGCTTTGGAAAGTGAAGTGATGATTGAGAACAGTACAAGCACAAGAGCCCCACAGCGGCCGGTGAGTCACTGCACGCTGATGAAGTCAAAGCAGAGGTGCAGCTGAGACGGCCCCAGGTCAGGCTTTGATGAACGACAGCCGCCCACGCACGGTTGTGCCATAACGGAGCTCGTGGCCGTTGTGAAAGCAGGATGTGGGATCCACTGGTTTGAAGTGATGCTTGAGAATGTGAGTCAGTGTCAGCAGGCAGTGTGGACCACATTTATACACCACACTGAGAGGCGGGAACGCAAAGACCACACGGACGGAAGGGAACCAGACAAATGCTGGTTTTCTCCCCATGCTGGGCTACACGGCATGTAATATTTATCACTTAATGGAGGCGAGCATCTGCGCCGCACACAATCGATGACCATCGTGAGAACCATCAGAGAGCGGCTCACAGAGAGGATGATGGAATTAGTTCTGTGGAGCTGGATTATAGTGAATGCATGAAGACAACAGGTCAACCGGTTTGCATTGACTGAAGAACTACTAGAAGCTTGTCCAACAGATGTGTGGGAACATGAGGGAATAATATACTTGAAGAGGTTATATGGTGGACCATTACAGATGTCCATTTATTGTGTTGCATGCTAACCAGCTAGCCCCGGCATGTCCTGCAGTACCCTTTGTACCTTGCGAGGCGATAGTGAGTCACTTTAGTGTCCAGTCCGTCCTCTGTCCTCCATGAGGGGACAAAGAAGCACAGCTGGTTCATCAGTAATGCTTCCACGGTCCATGTGCCTTGGAATGTTTGTTCATGGGATGAAATCGAGAGGAATACTCTTCTTGGCGTGTCATCCTCACGCAGTGCAGCAGCCAGAGAGACGTAGCGACCCCGGTTAGCAACTAGCTCATTTAGTTTTTCTATTTACTAAACGATTATCTTTGTTATATTTTTGTTGTGCGCCTGAGCTTGTTTATCGAATAGATCGTTCAATTATAATCAAAATATGTTTAATCCTTAACAAAACCCTGTGCCGTAAGCGTGTGAATCACACACTAAAATAATGGACGGTCTAGTGTGTCCCGGTCCAGCTGCCTGACTCCTGATGTTTCACCAGTCGAGTGTTAGTATTTCGGAGTAATTCCGCCATCATACCTTTCAGCTCAGCGATTGGCTGAGAGCGCGAGCAGAATCTCCATATCTCTGCAAACCACACCCCCTAACGGATTCCTGAGTGCCACACAGGTGATGCCCCGCCCCCCCGGTCTGAGGTTTTTAGGAATGCTTTTAACGATTCCGTTTCTTCACAGCAGTTTGCAGGCGTTACTTTCTGCATTATTGATGTGTTTTTATAGCCTCGCACCAACACAACGTGTGAATATGGAGTTTTATTCAACTTAAATTAACGAATCATTGCAGTGAAGTGTATAAAAAGTCAGTGGAAATTAAGATAATTCAACATGATAATGTTGTTCTTTCAATATAACTCAATAACGGTTCAAGCATACATTAAAACGTTAACACAAAAACTAAATACAAACCTGAAATTGTTGAGCACCACAAAAAGGTTCACGTATTAACTACCCAAGCAAGGTCCTAATAAATATAATTATGGATTTATGAAAGGATCTCTATCATTAAGGAAGCCTTATTTATTTAGCCTGAGAGACGCCGGAAACTTCTTCAGTAACACGATTCAGATGAAACAATCTTTATTAAACACGTAATGTCACTCAATAGGTGTTTTGCAGGGACACTTGATCAGCATTGTGATTCTCACACACACACACACACACACACAGAATTTTGATTAAAAAAAAGAAATGTAAAACTAAATTCTTACCCATCAAAGTGTTCATAGTGGATTTAAAGTGTCATTATCATTTGTGGTAATGAGGATATATGTGCATATTCTCTTACATTAAGATATCATTCATGATATCTATAAATTGTGACTGGTAGAAACTAAATTATTGAAACAGCTTGGAATTGTAACATTTTATATACTTGAAATACGCTTGCAGTGGAGATAATATTCTTAAAAGTGATAAGTGCGTTTGGAGTTATTGAATTTAAGACTTCAAAAAAGTTAAAAATGATGTAATTAAGTAATTATGGTGATTTTGGGAAGGTCACAATTCTTTATGAACATGTTGTAATTCAATTGTTCGTATGTATGCACATGTGTATATATTCTTACTAAGGATATCTAATATATTTTATTCAGTTTTAACTGGTCAAAATGTAATTTCTAAATGTGAAAATATATTTTGACATTATTTTTTACAGATATCATAAATTAACATAAGAAATGTTGTAAACACAATAGCCGCTAGTCAGCCGAACTTGTAAAATGACACACGGGCCATAACCCCGTTCGGACAGCAGAGAAGCACTAGTGCAACTTGCGGTGGCCACTGGTGTCAGCGTGGCTCTCCACCTGGGCCGACATTCCCAGGTAAGAGGAGAGGAGGCAGGTCAGCTTCCACTGCACAGCACTGAGGAGGACGGCGGAGGGACGGGAGGAGAACGTCAGCTTCCACGTTGCAGCCAGTGACTCGGGACGCAGCAGACGCGCCGCCACCCTTCATTCATTCATTCAAACACCGGTCTCCCAAATCACTACCAATGAGCACACCATGTGACCTCTGCCCACGCCCCCCCCACCCACACGCCCCCTCCCACAACGAGAAGTATTGCAAAACTTTAGTTAACGGTAATCAGGACCATAAGCTCAAACGCAGTGTGCCGGCAACTGGAAAAGTGAATCAAGGACGACATGTGATTTAGTTACTTTACACTTTGGTCTTGTTGGTTTTCCATGTAACACAAATAATCTCCACCACCCTGACAAAATGCATCCAACACGGACTAAAAGAACCCTGCAGCTCGCTGTTGTACGTGATTACAGCCACAGGGGTAAAAGCTGCAATCAGCACCTCTGTGACCCCTTTGCAATAACATCTGCACACCAAAATGGAAGGTATGGGCTCGGCTTGTCATTACCACTGCCCCCCCCGCCCGACTCCACCCCCCGAACGGGAAAGGTCTGAAGGAGTCGTCCTCCGCCCGGAACACCAGCTTTCACATTTCTGTATCGGCGCTTCTCATGCCTCAGGGGCCGTAGTATGGAACTACCCCACAGCTATCTAACTAACCAACTACCCCACAGCTAACTAACTACCCCACAGTGAGGGCATCACTTCCTTCACCACAACACTCAACACACTGTGTAACTCACAATCACTAATGCTGTGAAACTAATGAACAACAAAAGCAACCCGGACGTTAAACATGTAGAGCGGAGCGCTGAGATGTTTCCTCTGAAGGAGACCATCTCTGGTGGAGGAGCTTTGTGTCGCCAGATCAATAAGGGCAGACGAGTAGATGTGCGCTCTACTACTTTTGTTCAAGTGTTTTATACACTTGAAAAATCCACTCAATCCCCAGACATAAACATCAATGGCTAAACGGCTTAGCAGAGACACCCTTCATGTGACCGTGTGTCGGTGGTGCAACCATTAATACTGTGAAGTCCCACATGTTTACTTGAGATCTGACACTAAGCCCACGATGACCGGACACATGTGCGTTGGATGCACCATTGAGCCTGTGGAGACGAACCACTTTGACCATGAGTGCAGCCATTAGGAAGAGGAGGTAAGAGCACTCACTTCTTGAGAGCGGTGATGAGGTACATGGTCTTGGGCAGGAGCAGGAAGACCTGGTCTGTGAGCACAGCGTTAATGATCTTCTTGGCCACGTACTCTGGATTTAGGATCGGCAGCAGTGTTGGCCACCTGATGAACACAAGGGAAACAAAAACATCCAACTGTTAACGGCGGCCGTCACGCTCTCCCTCCCTGCTGTCACACGGCAGAGACGGTGGAACCGAGGCGAGCGGCTGGTTGTCCCAAAGGGTGCGAGTGTGACGGGTGGGAGGGTGGCGGCTTGGCGTGAAGCATGTGTCCCGGTGGCTTCGGGGCCTGGTCGCATTGAGGAGGGCAGGGAGACAGAAATAGAGACGGACACAAGTCTCCAAACACCTCTGACATCTGACCCGGGGTCTGTCGGTCTGTGTCTGTGTGTGTGTGTGTGTGGGGTCAGGTAAGAAAAACAAAAGACAGACACCCTGAGTCCCGTGTCTCCCAGAGTCAGTGTCCCCACACAGACCTGCGCTGGAGGCTCCTCTGGTAGAGTTTGTGTTGACGTGTTGCTCCTCAGTAGGAAACTAGGAGACGCATTGGTTTCTATGACAACGTGAAATATCTCACCGACGTAGAGGGACAAAGGGGCCGCTTGAATATTAGTTAGTGAAATAGTGACAAGGCCTTTGCCGCAAAAAATGTAGAAGAAAAAAAACGTGCTGTTCCTAAAGCCTTTAAAGCAAACTATGTTGTGAATCCCGGACATGTGACAGAATGGTTGATCAGCGAGCTTTAAAGCGGACGACGGGCTCCACTACGGCAGATAGAAACGTGTTCAGGCTGAAGACCACCACGTCTAAGCGGTTTGGACCTCTCTGCTGTCCCTCCATCACGACAGTACGGACTCCAGTGTGCCGGACAGTTCACGCATCGGTCTACTCAGCTACATGTTAATTCATGTCTCTTGGGTCGGTGTATTGTAATACTTTATGCACCGATAAAATCTCTTTTATACACCACTCCTGGATTACTTTTGGTTCCAGATACCTCGGGCCGATATTGTATATACAACTGTGCTCAATGAGATAAGAGGGACTGGTACACAGTCAGTTAATCTCCCAGCGGTCTCTTGAGCTGTGGCCATGAAGCAGGCAGCCTCGCTTAGTGTATGTGGGCAGCAGCGCGTGGACAATAAATGTGAGCGCAGATGGAGATAACTTGAGTGGTTGATTTGAGCTGAGGCGATAATAGTCAATCATCTGCAGCCATTGGAATGATGAGAGAAACCTTTAGAGACCTTCGGAGGTTCTAGGGATCGTCTGAGATGGGATTAGTGCTGCTGGCTGCAGCTCTCATCATGAATAACTTTAGCTCACATCCACTAATATAAGGGTTATACGTTTGTTTTGAGCTGCTTGGATTCCAGTTTTAGTAGAGAAGTAGTTACAGTAGTAAAGGAGTTGATGGCATTTGCATTGTTTTACTTTGGTATTAAAGCGGTATTATAAATTGTAGAATTGAACTGGTATTAGTAGCCGCTACCAAATGATTAGTCTTGTGACAGAACGAATAACCATCATGCACAGACATCACCTACTTTACATAAATATGCAGGGCAGTTATGCACTTTAAAACAAAAAACGTCATGTTTGCGTTTACATCCTTGTCAGTCCACATATCTTCAATTCACCAGGTTTATCCAACATTTTTGTAATATTGCGCATAACCCTTAAAATAACCCGATAAAAAGGAGGACTTTAGTGGAAAGACAAGCAATTCCCTCCAGACGTTGCTGCGATATCTGCTGAACAGGAACGGACAGAGGGACGGGTGACCTGGAAAGGTAACGCCTGCAGATAGAAGCAGAAATACAGTGACGCGTCACATGAAGACACCTACTTGGTCTGACATCCATCGAACATGCCGGTGTTGATGAAGTATGGGCACACGATGGTGGTCTTGATGCCGTCCTTCCCAGTGGCCAGCAGCTCCAGACCCACAGACTCAGCAAAGCCTACGGCTGCAAACTTACTGGCACAGTAGTCTGCAGGCACAGGAGAACAAACCGGTGACAACTTGTTCCTGAATACACATTATGACGGCTTCTCTCCCATCAACCTTGATCAAATGACTTCTAAATATTCTAGGTGTAAACCTCCTGCCCGTCTCTTGGATCAGATACGTTTTTCCTTTAGTTAGCACGTCTTTACTGGATAGCTTTTCCCGTGCCGATGGAGGGTTTCGGGACAGAGATGTCGCATGTGTACAGTAAACATAGACAGAATAAAATGGATGGAATGACTGAGATAACACATCGACCTGGTACACTTTAAGCAAACAAAAAATGTTGGATCTCTGAAGAACTTTGACCAATCATTATCACGTTGGTTGTATAGATACGAATGGTGACGACACACCCATAAAACATGGCCCCTCCCATTTTGTAGTAACAAGCTGACCCCAGAGCAGATATGTGAGCAGCAGGGTCAAAGTTCAAGGTGCCTTGTTATTGGAGGGTACTATGTCCGAATGCATACTGCGTGCAGTACGTACTGTATGACTGCAGCTGCAGAAACTAAAGTAAACGCAGTGCGTCTGATAGCGACATCACATCCCAAATGCTCCGTTTCCCACCGTGACACACGCCACACGAGGGCGGCCTCTTCGGATTGGGAAAACGTATTCTGTCTGCCCTGAAGCGCCCCGATAGTCTGCATGAAATCACCGCAGTCTGACATCATGGCGAGAGAGAGATGATCATACGTGGCCTCACATATGCTAAAGCGCGGTTAGCACACCACCGAACTCTTATCGGGTGTAATGATAATTTAGCGACTGATAAGTCCAGTAATTAGGCCTCTCCTCAGTCCGTTGGATGGGGCTGACTCATGCTCATTAATAGCCACCATGTAACATGTGTGCTTCTCACAATACAGCAGGTGGATGATAACAACGATCTTGCGCAATGGTCACATTACACAACCACTGATAAGATACAGACATCTCTGAAAAATATGGGTGAGAGGGCATCTACTCACATATCTTCCATTAACTATTACAGTTATTGAAGAGAAAATGAGAACCCGAAAGGAACGTAGGTGACGGTTTAATACCATACAGTTGTCATATTGCATATTGAGTAATGGCTCCACTTTATAGATTGTTTATGCGTAAACTTGAATGAGGTTTTTAAAAACACAGAATTATTTTTTTATTTGCAGTTCAATCTGCTTTATGCAAGATATGTTCCCTATAATTTCAGTGATTCCATCTTGAATATTAACAAAGTCAAGTCCAATGCAATATCCCTGTTATTTAAACAAGATAACACTGTATAAATCAGCCAGTAGTAAATAGGGGCGTGAATGGGTGAATGATGTCATGTAGTGTTAAAGCGCTTTGAGTAGGGAGACTAGAAAAACGCTACACAAGTACAGTCCATTTACCATTTACATTTATGGGTAGAAACCAGAGGGAAACTTGGTGGACATGGACTGAATTTATGTCACACCACTGCGACGGATGCTAACTACAATATCAGCGTCTGTGATTCAGTGAAACCTCACCATGTGCAGCACTCTCTGGTGATGAATAGAAATGGACATTTACTACATATGGTCATATTGCCCACTGGATATCCCTGCAGGCCTTCAGGAAGCTACTTCAGGCCTGTTTGTAAAAACACTGGTAAGTAGATGCTAATCATAGCTCATTGCACTCTGGGTACACAGGCTGTACACTCGGTGTTCATTTCTCCCCAGTAGAAGTGTTTGGTGACTCACTGAGTAATGCCACCTCTGGGCAGCACAAGGTAAACAAACCAGCAGGCTGGCTGATACATTCCCACCGTTTACAGCGCCAGAGGGGCATTCGGGCCCAAACAGACACACCGTGGTTCTGCAATAGCAACACGAAGCAGGTCTCCGCGCCTTTCAAGCCGCAGCGTTTCCATCATGTTGTGTTAGAAGAGGCGGATGAACTGCATGACGCCGCAGGACGACGCGGAGACTCTGAACACGTTTAGTGAAGTGTTTCAGGGACGACATGAATACCAATACTCTAAGTAAGTAGATGCCCAAATTCTGAAAATATGTTGCGATTATTTCAACAGCAACACAGAGTTCGAGACTCACAGCATCTAAACTCAGACGTGAAGCAGTGAACTGGACGATTAGTATTTTGGAAAACCAAACGGCAAACTGCACTTATAAAGCTCTTTTGTATTCTTAAGTGCTTTTCAATCACAAACACTGGTGGCAGCGGTGACCAAACGAGGTCCCCGCTTTACTGTGAGTACTACATTCACATGCTCACAGCGGCTTCACTGTCCCACCCTGCCCAAAGACCCTCGGGCTGGGGACAGATCTGCCACAGCCTACATAGACGGGCAATTCAATAAGTCACCAACTAATTGTGCATGTCTTTGCAATGTGGGAGGAAGCCAGAGAACCTAAACAGCACGGAGAGAACATGCAAACACAGGAAGCTCCCTGGGGGGGTCTAAACCCCGGACCCTCCAGCTGGGCTAAACAAAACACGAGGAGGAGAGCTAGTTCGAGGCAACGCTGCAAAAACATTTATCTGTACATATTTATTCTTACAAGAAACATTGAGATTTCTGATGTTGAATGTACCGCTGTTAGCAAACTGTGGGCAGCAAAGTCCTGCTAGCTCAAATGAAGCTAACGGCTAACGTGAACAGTTTGCATTTACACATGATGATGTGTTCAAATGTAATATTAGACAAATTAAACAAAAATGTTAGTCTCAGCACTTTATGGGAATTGTTTTAGGAAGCAAACATTTGAATATAAAAGATCCTGTAATGAATGAGACATGCATGATATAGACAGAAGGAGTAAACACACACCTGCCAATCCATTGACTCCGATTAGTCCAGCAGAGCTGGAAATGCTGACAAGATGGCCGTGATTGTTGGCGATCATGGCAGGAAGGAAGGCCTTGTAGGTCTGAGCAGGGAGACACACAAACCTCATCAGCCATCCGGCCAAACGGACAAATCTAAGCATGCGTCTGCGTTGGCATAAATGAGCTACATCACCAACAAATAAATGGTCTGCTCAAAATGAAGTTCCAAAAACTAAAAAGCAGTTTATTCAGTTGTGTTCGTGCGACCGCAGTATAGAACTAACACCGTACCGACTGACGGCCTCTGAAAGGACACCTTCCATCAAGACAAAGTCTCTGCGAGAGATTGGATCCAAAGCTAATCTGTGTGCTGATGTGGTGGACTCACCCAGAAGTGAGCCATGGTGTTGACCTCCATCGTTTTCTCGATCAGGGAGTCGGGGGCGTCCATGAACTTCTTTCCCGTGACGATGCCTGCGTTGTTCACCAGAATGGTGACGTCCCCGACCTCTCTCTTAACCTGAATGGAGCAAGACGTATGGGACAGTCACCCTTCAGTAAAGGAAGGAAAGGAGCTCACATATGCAGTGTTTTTTTCCTCCTTATTGGTCTCTGACCAGCTCATGCGTCTTAGCAAACAACACGCTGCATTTGTAATTGGTCATCATTTATTCATATTTTGTATTCTTAAACATTGACAGACAAAATAAAGTGTCTGAAGTGGAAAAACCAAATGAACCCACGGTTTATAACTGGTTATAGACTCAATAAAACAGTAAATTAATTAAGTACGGCAGTGTTTTTAAACCTTTTTTGAGCCGCGGTACATTTGTACAAAGACCGAACACCAGAAAGGTTACATTTTATTTGGCACTTCAGCTACTAGCTTGGAGAGCTCGCTGACACATTTGTGGATTTCCTCATATAGAGGCTGTATAATATAAATGTTTTACACGTGAACAAATCACGTCACCGCCAATCATAGTGCTTCATAGTAAACGGGTCCATATAACTCATTACTTGGCACCAATACGAGGTCAGTGACACAATTCTCCGTCCTCCTATTAGCTGCATGTAGTTTGGGCTAATCAATAACATGTCTGCTGCTTTGTCCCAGTGAAGCAAGAGGCGAGACAGGATCATTCCCTGATGACCCTCGCGGACCTTCGTACCCGGTCAGCACAAATTAACATGTGTGGTGGCTGCAGGCAGATGGATCAAAGCATCAGGAGCCCTGGCAGGCGGAGCCGTATGTTCTGGTGTGGATGGGGGAGATGTCCCATCAGAGGGGGGTGTAGATACACGTCACTGCTCTTTGGCCCGCCCTCCATCCAACCCAACGCCGGCCCTCAAAATTAACAAAGAATACCGTGAAACCCCAAAGAGGTTTTTGAAAACAGTCTTTACGTGGTGCTCTCTGCTGGTAGGAACAAACCAGTGGAGATCAACACAAACTGCACCACAGATTTTTGCAATGATTCAATGGACCAAAACAGAAAGACAATGAGCAGAATAATTAAGGCGTGAATCAGGCTGGTGATCCCAGCCGGTGTGCAGCGCTGTCAAACACATGTTGGCAGGAGATCTCTACAGGCACAGCCTCAAAACATCACACGTGTCCACATGCACACTGGGTGTTCCAAGGTGAAGGTTTTATATGCTGGCTGCAAGAGGAATTTGACCCTTGCCCTCTTACACGCCAGTGGGACTGCGGATAAAAGGGAAAGATAACTTCAAACAGCGGGATGGTAAAAGAATGATATCCTGATCAAGATATCCCTCGACAGACGGCATACTTGTATTAGCACCTCCAGTGCTGCTTCTACCTGCTGCTCTGTGGAGGGGACACTTGGTTCTTTCCTCTGTCATTTACGTTACCTGGGACACGCGGTGTTGGTATGAATGGGGGGGTGAAGGTTTGTTGGAAGGACAGGGGCTGAGAGACGGGAGTCATATTTTTGTTAATCCCTGAAAATTACGCTAAAAGTACACTATACTAATTGCTCTATTTTGTGATACTGCTATCTTTACAATACAGCAATAAAACACAGTCACTGGATGCTGGACTCACTGAAGGAAACGCGTCTGCAGGGTAATCGCCTCCCCTCAGGCTTGATGACGACGAGGAAGTTTCCAATATTTACCTCCACTCAGTTTGCTATTTTATTAAATATATATTGAAGCCATTTGGCTGCAAAATGTTTAGTCAAATGAATATTTTTTACATCCTGTTCACGAGCCACGTTTGTACTCCCATGAGCGGAGCTTCCCTCCCCCCTCGCTGGTAACTCGTTAGAGGAGCTATGGAGGACACGAGGATCGTTTGTGTACTTCATGTGTATATAGTACCTATTTACTGCCAGCTCCTGACTGCTTATCTTCAGTGTTGGCATATAAACACGCGGTTGTGTCTTTATGGACTCAGCATGAGGTGTCTGCTTGACACTGGTGACATATTTGACGCTGATTCCTGGAGGGCATCATTGGCCCGCTGAGCCCGGAAACTACACGTCTGTAACTTTGCTTCCTTTTCCGCGCTTTTCCGTCTAACTGGAGTAATAGTTTGCGGTCTTTGATTGACAAAAAAAACAGCGTGTGCTCTCATGACGTCAAAGTGTAGAGCAGATGAAACCGCAGACAGTAACACACAGCGCCTGGGCCGTGTTCCTGGTTCCTGTGGACACAATGAGTTCCCTTTATCATTGTGTTAAGGGTTATTAGCATTTGAAGCCAGCTGGCTGTTCAGATCGTGCTCTGTGCGCTCACCGCAGTCCACATCCAGTCAATCAAGTGTCTGTTTACACAACAGTCCCCCCCCCCCCCTCCCCTGCCTCACGTCCACACACACACACACACATACATACACATACACACGCAGAGACTGAGACAGACAGACACGCGCCACAGGATCACGGCAGATTCATGGACTTCACGGAGACGGCGAAGAGTGCATAACCCACTCCCATGATCCATAAGCACAACCGGGTTGATGACCAGGATGTGGAGGGTTGCGCCCGGGCAACGCCCTGATTTTACATACTGTTACACACGCTTCACTGTTGGCGAAAGTCTGACTCCGCCTTTGTGCTCATGTGAAAACACCTGTTGATGAGGACCCAGTGGTTTCAAACACCACCTTCTTGACGTAGTAGCCAGCTTTAGGTCATGTTTAGCGTAGGATTAGCTCGGTGCTAGGTGCTATTAGAGTGCTACGGTTAGCAACACTTTGCTAGCCACGTTAACCCCAATGCTTTTTAGTCGTGACTGTATTAGCACATCGGATTCAAGTAACTATACAACATTTCAAATCCACACTCGACAGTCTAGAGCTTTTTCCTCAGTAGCAGCATGTGTGTGTGAGCCTCCTCGGCACATCAACAACAAACATAAGCCTCCTGCGGTTAAGTGTGTCCGTCATCCACGCAGTAAGTCGGGGGGGGCACAGGTGGAACCGGTGCTCACCTGGTCGGCCACTCTGTACACCTCGTTCTTGTCGCTGCAGTCACACAGGTAGTGGTGGACTCTGCTGGCGCCGCTCTGCTTGGCCAGCCTGGCCGTCTCCTTCATGCCCTCTTGGTTGATGTCCCACAACACCAGCACGGTGTCGAGAGCCGCGAACTCCTGAGCCATGAGGCGGCCGATCCCGCTACCGGAGCCCGTGATCAGCACCACCTCCCCGGCGATGTTCTTCTTTCTTATAGGCACGAAGAGGTGGATGAAAGATTCCACGTTGTACCAGATGGACAGCAGGAGGACCTGCATGGTCTCCACGAAGAAATTCATGACGGATCTTGGACTGCAAGAAGGGAAACACAGTAAAGCTGAGATGGATTCTTGTGGGCCAACCAGGAAGTTGCCCTCAAAAGGGATTTTCTTATTGTATTTTGAAACCTTACGGACAACAAAACTACTTTAATAATGCGAAAGTTAGCACACATACATTACACTGATGAAGAGGAATTCTTAAGTGTTGAAAAAAATAGTAGTATGAAGTGTTAAATAAAGTTCAACACAGGCCATGAACTCTGGAACATTAGTTAGTGCGTCCAGGTGCCATTTAAACGCTACAAACTGAATTAGAGACACTGTTGATCGTTTATTCATTGACTAGATTTAACTTTTTTTTGTTTTTTTACATATCAAGACTTAATTGTTCATACATAGTGAGTTTTACTCGCGACTTGCTGAGTTTCGTCATTGCACACATGAAGTGAGACTTTCGGTGAATAGCGGATCGGCGCGTGTGCACTCACGGTCATCAGCACGCGCACTGAGAGGCGTTATAAACATGGACGTTCCCTCCTGCCGTTAACAGCCATCGCCGAGCAACAAACAGAGATCTAATGAGAAGGCGGGGAAGCGGGGACTTAGTCGTCATTGGGATTCTAGCTTACCGGAACAGGAGTCGATGTCCCGCGGGCGCACCGAGTGACCGTATCGACTTTAACCGATACGTTTGCTCACCACTTAGGCCAAAGTTACAAAACACTGCGCTCCGACCGAACACGCGCTGCCGCCGCGGGGGGGTCGGTGGAAGCTCCCGGTGAACGTACCGTGATGTAGAGCTGGTTTTCCCGGATGAGACTCTGCCGTTTCTGAAGCGTCTGGAGACAAAAAAGCAGGCTAACGCATCGGAGACAGGACGCCACTCAGCGGGGAGATGCCGGATATGTCACGTGTCATGCAATCAACCAATCCTGACCCGCCCCTCTCTCATAGCGCGCTATGCATTCTGGGGCTTGAAGTCTGTGTGTTTGTCTTCACCATAGTGAACCGTATATCTTAACACCACTACAGCTAACTAACCTCACAGAGTTCACGACGTTCATAAATCAGTAAAATGATTAGTAAGCAGTAAAGTAACAAGTACAATAGAAATAAACACTATAAAATGAGTAATGTTTACGATTGTTTTGCTCTTAATGTTGTTACAGGTCCAATTTCCTCAGAAACGCAACTTTTACTGGGCGTTTGTGACTTACATTTGACGGGTAAAATGGAAACTAAATTAAAGAAATAAGATATCTCTTGCAAAAAAGACATAATGTTAATCAGGAACTATCAGGTGGTAAGTTAGTCTCATGAAACACCTTGAATGACAACCACCTTGTTTGCATAATGAAAAGGAAATAAGAAAATAAATTTGTAAAGACGCTATTATTAGTATTAGAAGTAGTGGGAAAAGAGGGAGTGGGTGTATATTGGAAAAGGGCAATTAAATGAATAAATTAAATTGAAAATGAATGCAAGAAAGCATTATACATTTAAAAAAAATAAAAGACTGAATGAGATGCCTTTTTTTCTTTTTATACACAATAACATATAAATGTATTTATGACTTGGGAGACATCTTCTGATCACTGTTATGATTTACCTCAACAACAAAGCACGTTAGCTATTCAGCTTGCTTTACATTCTTCAGAATTTCATAAAAAGTGTACACAACAATAATATGAAGGTTAAATTGGACAAGTGGTAAATATACTTTAATAATAGGAATATCCTAAACGCATGAGGATCCATGGCATGAAGCAATCAAAGATGAACGCCACGCTTTTATTAGCAGTCGATTGTACACCATCATCGACGGATTGCGGGTGTGATAATAGATTGTTTATAACCAGGGGGCGTAGTCACACCCCTTTCTGGACTTTGGTTTTGATCATTGCATCCAACTTACTCAAAAAGCTTTTTTTTAGTTGAAACAACAATCTCTTTAAAGACCAGTTAACTGTGACTTGTGTCTCATTCCACATGGTTTGGCACACATCCTGAAAATAGCACTCCCGCTCTAATTAGTGAGCCGGTACAAAAGCAGAAGATTCACACCACTTTAGATGAAAGTGCAAACAAAGGCAGAAGCTTGCAGGACACGTGTGACCGACACGACGGGTACTTTGGGGTGTTGGCTTCTTATTCTCGCCACTGATTTGGCAACAATTTCCCTTCTCTTAATCCCCAGACATTTGTTAATCTCCCTTGGTAAGCAAGTATCAGGTGATCCACAAAGAGACTACAAAGACCAACATAAATAGAGATGAAAATGAGCTGCACAGAGACTCACAACCACCACGGAATGACAAACAACAAGAAATCTTAAATGTATTTACCGGCTTAATGACTAACAATGAATTGTTTTATATTTAGACATGAGAATAAGTACACCACCCTTGCAGCACAGCCGTCTTTTTGTAAGGCACTGGGCTCTGCGCTGTGCTATTTTATATTTTTGTTATTTTTAAGGTTTTTTATTATCTAGTCTCATCTCGATCCTGAGTCCCAAAAGAAGTTTGATCGATTCATTGATTTTACTGTACGTGTGTCTTGCTCCCATGTAGGAGATGTGGTGGAGGCCTTTTACATGTCATCGTGTCCCAGAGGCCTATTGTCTCATAATCCACAGACAGGGCCATAGCTACAAAGATGTCTTAGATATTCTGAGCTATGAAATTCTGAGAAGTGAAACCCATTCCAAAGTACCTTGAACCTCAATTCTATTGTGGAACCAGCTTCCACTTTGAGTCTGGGGGGCAGATTCGGTCAGCTCTTTTAGATAAGCTTAACATTTTTTGATATGGCTTATAGTTAGGGCTGGCTCAGGTTAGCCTGGACCAGCCCTTAGTTAAGCTGCTATAGGCTTAGACTGCCGGGGGACTTCTTAGGACACACCGAGCTCCTCTCACGCTCTCACTCTCTCTTTCTACAATAATCCACGTTTTATTAATGCACATCACTAAGTCAGCTTCTTTTTTTTGTGCTTTCTCGCCTCGCTGGTCTCCGTAGATCGTGGTTCCATCTGGAACTGAAAGAACTGATTTATTCATAATTGAAATTTCGGTTTTGACCAGAAATTGGGATTGGACCTATTAGTTTCAGCTTCATTCCACCACATGAACCACATTCCACCTCCGTTTGGTCACGGAGATGAGCGGTTTGAGTGGAGACGGTAACGAGCGCTTGATCGATTTATAATCTACGTACTCAATAGAACGATGCTATTGTGTCGCCACACAGCTAGCACACGGCTAAACCTCACACAATTTTGCCTAAAACTCCCAACAGCAAAGCATGTTAAGTCTGTTCCTCCCGCCCGTTGGACAGGTCAAAGTTCACTTTTAAGTTTCCAACAAGGCTGAGAAGAGGTCTGAGAAGTCCGCTGGAACAAGTGCTACAATAACCAAAACGTGACAGCTAGCTTACAAAAGGATTAAAGACACGGATTCCTTTTCCAATTCAGGTTACGTTTCCAATGTTAAAGGTTACTTTCAATAGACACACTTAATTTATTAGTGGGGACAGAGCTCATTAAGCCTTTTCAAAACACAAGAACTCATCACATCACATGATGCTATGTCCATACACCGTGTTAGTTTGAAAAGAAAGTTGGCATCACAAGGACTTCATGCTCGGTTACATTATGCGTAACTATGTTTTGATTGAACAGTTAATAAAAAGTGATATTTGTGGTGGTGGCTGATCTCATCTTTCCTAATCCAAACTTGATGGCAAGATAGGAATTAATATTCATTTTTAATGATGATAATTAATCTCTTGTACAGGTTCCAGATGCTATGGGAAGAGAGCTGACTGATTGATTTATAAGATATGTTCAGATCTTATCAATAGAATTCCGAGGACAAAATGTGTGTGTGTGTTCCTGAGGCAGAGAGAGAGAGAACGTGTGAATTATCTGGGCTTTCTTAAGATATCCAGCCACCCATCCATCGTCAAACCTTTGAACTGTGAAAGGAAGTCAGAGAACCTGGAGAGAACCCACGCAGACACGGGGAGAACATGCAGACTCCACACAGAAAGTGGAGTCGAACCCAAGACCTTCTTGCTGTGAGGCGACAGTGCTGACAACCACACTACCGCGCCGCCCATAGGAAGATTTATACATGAGAAATCCTTATAAACAATTTCACCACAAAACGCAAATGCAAGCAACTTACTGTCATTTACTACTATCTACTGTAATTTGTTTTAATAGAATATTAATGTATATTGCATTACTCAATTTGATACTGGAATAAGTGCATTTTATGGTAATTGTACTTTATATACTAGTATATTACCCCTGAGGGTAAAGCAATCTGCTACTTTTGTATGTAATTCCGCACAATGACAAAGAAACGTAGAGCATTCATGTACAGTACAATATTAACAGTTTTTACTAATTGTAAAAAATTGTTTACTAATTGTCTTCAAACATATACAGTATATACAGCTGACTCTGTAGGACGAATAATACTTGGAACATTTGTATTGCAAAAGCGAAGAGGTACTGAATGTTTAAAAGACAAATAAATAATGACAGTGACACAGGATTTGACTAACTCTCTTCTTCTTCGTCTTGGAGAAAAACGTTTGCTTTTCCAGGTCTCCACTTCCTTTTGAACATCATCACATTGCTAAACAGCAGTTCTGCAGTCGGCTGATTAGTATCACATATTCATTATAGTTATCACTATGGTTAAAAGAAAGGAATCAACTCTTCATTTACATGCAAACTGTTATGAAATACTGTAAGGATGCTGTTGTAAATCCACTGAAAATTTACAGCAATTCGTTATATTGTGTACAAGGTTTTTCTTTTTTTATTAACTTATGGAAATCCAATGGGAAGTCTGCTCCTCAATGCAGGATGACATCCCTGAATGTGACACTCTACACACTACAGACATACATGGTTTCTTTTTACCGGCGCATGGCTTTATGCGGTTTACATCATCTGTCCAAAATACCATCCCTTAACTATTTCATCCTGCTAGATATTAGGGGGAAATTGTCATAATTGGCTGTGAGATTCTAGATTCCTGTCCAAAGAGCTCTTATGTGGTCACGGTGACCTTTGACCTTCGACATCTAATCAGTTCATCCAGATGGGTGTTTGTGCTAAATGTGAAGAATTTCCTCCAGTTGTTCCTAAGATCTCACGTAGCGGTGAGGTGTGTGAGCGCCACTTCTTCAGGCTGGAGATGATGGATTCATTCCACAGCTCCCCAAGTGTCCCGTGTCATGAGACCCATTGATGATGCTTATTAGCAAGCTCACATTAATACTATTTGTTCTACTTGCCTATATGTAATATGTTTCTGAAGATTTCTCATAAGATGACGTCTCGTTCGCATAACTATATCAATTAGTTAAAATAGTCCCAATTTAATGGGCTTTAATGGGAGTTTTCATGATTAAAACCAAATGAGCCCTCCTTCATCAAGTCATAAAGATAAGTGATTAGATTTGACTAAAACAGGGCCAGGGAACGGGTGTGGATTCAAGGCTTCTAATATTACACCACGTCATAATAAAAAGAATGGATGAATGATAACGTATATTATGTTTCCTTATCTATTCCTTTTATAATTCCACTTTTATTATTATTGCGTAGGGAAAAGAGGGGGACAAGCCAAGGAGTATTTTTTTTAGAAGTGATGGTAAAAGTACCAGGCATGAAAAGAAGTTTTATGGTAAAAGGAAAAGAAAAGGAAGATGTGACATTGTTTACTTCACATTAAATCAAATGCACACTGGCGTGTTAAAGGCGTTGTCACTCTTGCATCAGTCCCATCTGTGTTGGTGGGATTTCACAGACAATAGAAACAATGTACCAGTCTTTGAAAACACATTCTCACACCAGTGTGTCAAATGCTCTGAGTACCACATCACCATTAAAACCCCTGAACT